CCGGGACTGTCGCGGGCGCCCTTTGCGGGAACAGGGGTGCGTGCGGGAGGGGGTTCGAGGGCCTCGACCCGCGCCCCGTCCCTGCGGGCTGCGCTCGCGGCCCCGGAGCCCCCGCCTGGCGTTTCCTTGGGAAGAGTTCTGTCCTCTTCGCAGCCCGGACGGGGCTGCAGGGAGGAAGTTCCAGGAACTTTCCCTCCACTTTTATTTCTCAGCCCTGCAGTGATGAAGCGCAGAGTAACGCAGACGTCTGGGGACATGGCTCTGCGCGTTTCCAGTAAACAACCCGAGGAGCTCCCAGACCCCCATCCCTCCTGTCCCCGCGACTCGCGGGGCCCCCTATCCTGTCGCTCCCCTCCCCGACTCCCCCAGCCCGGCGGTGATCGCTAAGGCCTAACACTTCGCAATTTAACCATAAAAACTGTCAGCACACCCACGTACATATGCGCGTGTTTTCTATATAAAGCGCAGAAAGCCGCTTCCAGTGGACTCTGGCATCTGGTTCCTTTCTGTTCTCTAAAACTGCTAGTGCTGCAGGAACGTGGCTGGGAACTTTGGGGGTAGTTCCCAGCGCCCTCGGTGGCCCCAGTGCGCCAGGTTTCTGTTTGTTTGTTTTGTTTTGTTTTGTTTTTGAAGGACGGCGGAGGGGATGACACCCCTGCAGAGTAACTTGGGGCTTGGCGGGCAGAGCGGCTGGCGCCCGGCTCCCTAGTGAGTGCGCAGCCGTAACAGCGGCGTGGCGGCGGCGACGGGGACGCGGGGCTGTGTGCAGGAATGTGTGTGCGGGCCGTGGAGACTGAGATGGGATCTGGAGAATGCATGGTGCAGTTCCTAGCAGCAGCTTCCTGCCGGCCTGTAATTACAGCCTGATTGCACAGCCAGGCATTGTTGGCGTGGATGTTTATACACAGGCTATTGTGCAAGACCTTGGTGGTGGTGAACAAAACTCCGATTTGCATTGCAAATGCCCGGGCTAGATCTGGGCCTGGGCTGTGTCTCTGTGTTCTTTTGCCTTTTAACCTCAGCTAGGTGTTTTGTTTCCCTGCCTTTCTCTTAACCTTTGCCAAAAGCCAGAGTTGGAGTGGGCTCTGCAGGGCAGGATCCCTGCACTCCTCAGGCAGCCTGAACACTGCCAGGAATTGTATCTTGGTTTGTGTCTGGAGAAAATACGGGATGACGTCAGCAGGAAGAGGAGATAGGAGATGGCTATCGACCTCCCTTCCCGGGAAAGCCAGGAAGACGTTTGAATTAGCAGAACTGCAGGAGCGGAGGACTGGGGCTGGCTGTGTGTGAGTTGGCGAGCTGGACTTTGAACCTTAAAGTCAGCGGCAGAAACTTTGTAGGTGGGACCCATTTTCTTTATTGTGTGCTGGGCAAAGGGGAAATGTGCTCCATGGCCAAAGGCAAAGTGCTGGGGCTCTGAGACTGTTGGCGGCCGGCCAGGCGTGTCCAGGGGGAGTTGGGGAGGGGAGGCAGAGGAGTGACTCATGCACATTTTCTCCTTGGGAGCCCCAGGCCTACTTCCTGAGTAAGCCTGCAGCAGAGCCCGTACTGGGGGTCCTCACATCTACAAGAGGCTGCCCCGGAGGAAGGGAGCCAAGCCTGCAAGTGTGCAGAGGAGGCTGACAGTTCCTCCTGGAGGGCCTCGGAGGCAGCAGCTGTAGTGGTGATCCTACAGTCCCTCCGCTCCAAAATGAGAAAGCACCCACTGCATGTGTGCAGGGCCGTCCCAGATCACAACTCGCTCACACCCTGTCCCAAACGGTAGACTCATAGGGCAGTGCCAGCCCTGCTGGGTTGCTAGGTGACTGGGTGGCATCGCTCTGCTGACGTGCCTGGTCTGCTCCTCTGCTCAGCGTGGTAGGCCCGGATGACCCTGGCATGCTGGAATGCCTCCAGGCCTGGCCTTCTCCCCACCTGGGCAACTGAGCTTCATCCACCTGGAAGGAAATGCTGTTTTGCAGCCTCCTGCCAGCTGTGTGTCACGGGTACAGTGACCATTTGTGAAACCAAAATATTAGGGCGCGGTCGCCAGCAGTACCTCTGTGCTTCCAGACACTCCAGGACAAAATGTAAAACCGGGGCAGTTCTGGAAAGTCTGGGGTATGAGGTCACGGTAGCCATAGGGGAATGAGGTTTAGAGCAAAAGCCTCACTGCAGTAGGCGTCACCAGTGGTTGCACAACCCCCTGTTCTAGGAACACTTGGTTTTTACTGGGCTTGACTCTCAGTTCCTGGCTAGCTGTATCACCTGACCAGGAGCACTTGAGCAAGGCCCTGTGGTGCCCCGTGTGCGGCTTGAGGGGCAGGAGAGGAGTGCATTCCCTTCTGACCTCACAACGAAGTATGCGTTTGTGATCCTTAGTGTTTATGTAGAACCTTGCAGAGATGACATGTCCAGAGGCCCTCCTGGGCCAGACAGAGCAGGAAGCTGGGCTCCCTGGAGTTACGGAACTACCTAGAACAGTTGTCGATCCACATCTTCAGCTCAATCTGGCTGATTTCTTTGTCCAAAACTCAGGCCCTTTTGCTGATTTGGTTGGCTTTGCGTCTGCATTCACAGTTTGCCCTGCAGTGATACATAGCCCCCGGTTTAAGAGGAGAAACTCAGTCCCTACTTCCTCTCCTACCTTACAGAAATTTTTTTTTTTTTTTAGGATTGTGTCCATTCTTTTTTTTTTTTTGGTTTTTCTCCGGTACCGGGAACCGAACTCATGACCTTGTGCTTGCCAGGGAGGCCCTTTGCCGCTGAGCTAAATCCCCAGCCCCCAGAAATCTTGATTTATGGCTTGAAGTCACAGCCCAGTTCGCTGCCCGTGAACAACCCTGCCCGCTCCCTTTATGCACAATCAGAGGCAGGAATGGAAAAGCTCTGATTCAAAAGTTGCCAGATTGAAGAAATCATTTCATTGTTTCGGGAGGGAGACATGCTGGAGGTATTTAGGGATCTGGGCGACAGTGGCACCTCAGGGTGCTGCTGAGAGAGGCAGACGGAAGTCCCGTGGAAGCAGGTGGTCCTAGACTGAAGGCCTTTCATGCTGTTCAGGACTGGTACTTGTATTTCCTCACCTGCCTCTTCCCGGCTGATCACTCTACGCCACGGCCCAAGGTTTTGGCATCCCAAGTCACCTCCAAAAAAGGAGGCAAACACCCACAGTTAAGGAGGGCGTTCCAGGCTGGAAAGAGAACTGCGTGCTTCCAGATGCTGTGGCTGGCTCTTCTGCCCTACAGAGTTAGTTCGTCCTTTAAAACATGCCCCCTCGTTCCTCATTCTCACTGAAGCATCTCTTTGTGAGACCCTTAAACCTTCTTTTTTTGGTCTGCATGACACGGGGCAAACGCCTTACGACTTTCTCTCTCAAGTGCCCCTTGAAATACACACAGGGCTTTGAATAAGCCTCAGATAAAGGGCTGCTCTGTAATCTCACTTAAAATGCCTGTTTTCAAGGGTCACCCTCCCGCTCACAACCTTCGGTGGCTACCCACCGTCTGCATGGTGAGAGTCAAACTTGGAGGCTGGCAGTCCGGCCTGTCTGCAGGGCTCTGGCCTCCGCGGCTCTCCTGTCCTGATTCACGGCCCTGACGCAGGGACTTGCTCTGGGTGTTCGTGCCGTGGACATGGCCCCTGCCTTCCGTGCTGCTTTGGCGGCTTGGATGCTTCCCTCTTCCTCCCTTCTCCATCCTAGTCCTGCTCTCCTCTAGTCCTGTTCATGCCCCGTGCTTAGGATTTTCCCACCACGTGAGCCCTCCCAGGACTCCGGGAACCTCTGCCTGAGGCCTTGGGTTGAGGAAAACCTGGAATCCTGGTGTCAGAATTTTCCTCTTCTCCTTTGGGCCAAGGTTGTACTTACACCCTTTGTTCAGCTGCTTAAATGTGCTTGTAGGTGAATAAAAACCTATCGCTTTTTTGCGGGGTGGGGCCGGGGAGACAGGGTCTCATTATGCAGTTCAGGCTGACCTTGAGCTCACTGTGTGGCCCAGGCTGGCCTGAACTCCTGGTGATGATCCTCCTGCCTCAGCCTCCCGAATGCTACCGGCTAAAAACTTATGACTTTAAAAATAAAATGGAAGCCCTTATTGTATAGATCTTTGTATCCCCAGCCTGGTGCTCTATTCATAGCAAGTCCCAGTAAACATTCAGTGACGACCATGGTACAAACGGCACTAACAGTTCCGTTTTGTCCACCTGTGCATGGGCACACACAAAAGCCCAGGGCCAAGATCCATGGTTCTTTGTCCTAATTCTTTTTTTTTTTTTTTGAGACAGGGTCTCGCTATGCAGTTCAGGCTGGCCTTGAGCTCACTTTGTGACCCAGACTGGTCTGGAACTCGCAATGATCGTCCTGCCTCAGCCTCCCAAGTGCTGGGATTTACAGGCGTGCACCACCACGCCCTGCTGCTTGTCCTAATTCTAAACGTTTACCCAAACCTGCCTCTGTTCTCCTGTTAGTCTTCCCTGGCTCCGTCTGGCTTTACACTTCATGAGTTTTCTCCATTTCTAGTACCTTTTCCCCCTGGTGCCAAACAGCCTCTGCCCGGGTCGGACATTGGCTCCTCCTTGCCTGGTTTGGCTCAGTTGCCTTTCCCTGTGATGCCCTGTACCTTGGCGCAGTTTTGAGGGTCAGTTTGGCTGGTAGGAGGCCAGACCAACTCTCAGGCGAGCCTGGTGAGGAGGGGAAGGCTGCTTCCTGGCTGGCTGCAGGCTTGCTTTGCCTTCAAGAGCCGACCCTGTAAAACCAGGCTAAACCCCGAAGCTGAGTCTTGGGGACATCCTGGCTACACCCCTGCCTTAGGCTTGATGAGTGGGGCTTTGTGGCCTCCCCACAGTTCTCAAACTGAATCACAACCTTGCCTTAAAAGCCAGATTCTTTCTTTGTAAATCAAGATGTAATCTGCATACCATAAAATATAACCTAAAAGCCAGATTCTTTAACTTTTTTGTTTTATTTACAAATAAAAGAGATTCTTTTCCCCCATAGTTTTTTTCCTTTGTAGCGGTGGCGATTGAATCCAGGCCTTGCACATGCCAGGCCAGCACTCCGTCAGCGAGCTGCACGCAGCCCCAGCTCACTTGGTTGTCTGTTTGACAAGCTAACGCACACACATAGTTCAGAATTCAAAAGATACATTGTATGGTATAAAGTTAGTCTTAAACATAATCTCTATATAGACAAAAGAGCTTGCTATGCATATAAATGCAACTGAATTAGAAAAATAGATACTTTCTAACTACGAGAGAAAGAAGACCTTAAGAAAGATACAGAGCCCAGAAACCATAAAAAATTGTGATAAATGTGATTACTTAAAACTTTGAGAAAACAAATTTTTTATCCTCTAACCTTCATTTCTTCAATCCTCCAGTGCCCCTGTCAGGCACCTGCAATTTGACATCTTCCAGCTACCCTTCCAGGTGTAGTCTCAGCAGATAGGAAAAAATTTGAGCTAGGTCACACCCAGGGGGAAGAGCTGACTGGTGGTCAGTGTCACTGGGAAGATGGAATCTGTCAGTGTGTAAGACGAAAAATAAAGAATATAATCGAGATTAACCTTGCAGTGCTTTAGGAGATCCCCCTCCATCTTCACAGAGAGGGAGGACAGACAGGCAGCAGACGTACTGGCTCTGGATGCTCACACGCATCTTCACCTGCTGCCCCAGCTCTGGAAGAAGCTGTAGTCGCTAAGGTTGAGCACCAGGTAAAGAGGGGGCCGTGGAGTATGAAACGGGCGTGTGTTTACATGCCGCGGTCTCCTTCGCCGAGCAGAGGTGTTTGTATTACGTTATCCCGGCCGCATTGGGCTCAAGACCCTTCACCCGGGCTTGTTGCTCCCTGGAGCAGCGGGTTTACACGGCTATGTTTTCTTCTGTTTTTTTCCTTCCGTATCTCCCTCACCTTCTCTCTGCTAAGCTTGACTATTTGAATCCGCACCAGTTGAGTGAACACACTGAGGTACTCACTCCCTTGTCTCATGGGAAGGTAGATCCTGGGAGCTGTAAGTTAGGAGACAAACACGGGAGGTGAGAAAGAAAGGCTCTTAGAGTGGGTAGGGGGGTTCGCTGGAGAAGAGAACCAGGGAATAGGCCTGAAACCGCAGTTGGTTCACCCAGGATTGCAGATGGAAGGTGTAAGCCCGGTTGCCAAGTCCAGGTATGTAGCGGGCACCTTGCTCCGTGCCCTGCCCTTGTGCCCCTCCCCAGCCTCCCTGTTTAAGCCAGTACAAGAGGCCTGCAAGGAGTCCATGCCCAGATCAGTACCTGCTTCCTCTGTGTGTGCTCGGGGGCAACTTACAAGCCAACAGCTACTCCCAGAGGCCGCGTGCCCTCCCACTGCGGGAGGCGGCAGAGC